GTTTATCAGTTTATTAATTTAGGTTTTTAAGTTTTTTAACATATCTATAATCATGTGCTTGTTATCATTCTTTGGACCTTGAAAGTCAATGGATGTGATGAAATTTGGACCAGAGACCAGACCAAGACTGGTTTCTATTGCTCCAGTTTCTTTTCAGTTGTCCCGTACTTCATTGTCTAACTGGGTCCTAACAAAAGTGCGAGCATTTGGAAAAGTATAATTTCCCCTAGGGAAGTCAGGCCAGTCTGACCTCCTCAAATTATACCGATCAAAGTGATGTACGGATTTTCAGAAATGCATACATACACATGCTTTCAAAGTGTTTGTTCTGGAATTGATACACAGCAGGGTCAATAATTCTCAGGAATTCCTCTGACTTCTTTAAGACAGAGTCTACATGTACTTGCTATTTTTATTCAGTGTTTATCATTGTCACATGCTGCTATTTCACATACTCTTTCATCTGCAATGGCCAGATAAATACCATCTGGTTATGTTAAAGCCTTCAGGCAGAATAATAAAGATGTAGATGTGTACATAACGGTCTTTCAGGTGCAAGAATGACAACAGTTCCCACGTCCCACGAGACCTACCCCTTAACACCATGCAAAGCTGGATGCGAACACTTAGGACATTTGTTCAGAAAGGGGAAAACTAGGTTCTCATTCTTTCTTCCCAAGGTTATTTTGAGTTTTTACTTGATGACAGTGTAGTAAAGCAGTATCAACAAATCCAGCACAAGAGTTTCGCCCCCTCCTTTTCCCTTCTAAATAGTCCTTCCAGAATTCAGTACCTGAGAGGCACTTCAGCTGTGCCACATCATTATTTGCATCTTACTCCAGTGACCACAGATAAATACTGTCTAGCAGCATGGTCCTCCCTAAGTAGGACCACCACTTTCTCTCATTAATTATCTGGACAAACTCTCTTCAGTAGTGAGAGGGGAGAAATCTATGGGAAATCGCTATTCTTTGGAAAGGCTGCCATGTGCAGGACAAGCTTCCACTGGAAACATACCAAGATCCAAACTTGTTGAACGAAAAGGAATGAAAAATGAATAAATGGTAGGAAAAAAATTGTGTCCGCTGGTCACAACTGGATGTGAAGCAATAGCAGAAAGCAACATCCCTGTCTAAAGCTAATCTAATCTTAGTCCCTGTCTAAGACTAATCAAATTTGATGTCTTGTAAAACAAACAACTTGCAGCTGGAAAGTGCCAACAAAACATTAAAATGCGTAAATAGTGACAAAAAGTTCAAGATATTTGAAAGGATATACTATAACAATTTGCCTGCTCTAGAATGGTACCATGTTACCAGGCGTGCCTGGCATTCACTGTTCTTCTCAAAGCACTAATGCAGAAAGGACAGTGAATGTCTATTTTCCAGTTGCTTGTATACTGTATTTTGTTTTAAAACTGTTGAGCAAGTCAACATTATGATATTTAAAGCTTGCTGGACTGAAAAAAAAAAAGTCAAAAAGGATATTTACACTAAGAGTTGCATATTACGAAATTTAAAATGCAATTCATTTTTTCTTCAGAGGTTTTTTTCCCATTTACAGTTCACTAACACAATTTCTCAGATAAAGCGTGCTCGTACTACTCACAGTCACTAAAATGTTCCTTTTAACCTGCTCTGTTTACTACTGGAGACAGCGGCCAACCAAGAGCTGACCATATCCCTGGGTAAGTATGGGCTTTTCCAGGAGTGGCAGAGGCTCTTCTGAGGAATTGAGATTTATAGAACTGAAAGTAAAATGCATTTCAAAAAGCACATTATATCTGTGTGGAATTCAGATTTCATTCACATGGGAAATGTCATACTATGGGAAATATAGTCCTCAAGTAAAGTTGTGTTTATCAGAAGTTTGTTTTCCATGCAATAAATTTCAATCAGAGTTGCTACATTGAAAAAGACATGTCAACCTTATCTTTTAAAAATTACCAGGATTGCACTGCTATTTTATTCCGATGAGAAGGAAAAACAAAATTCTCATTCAGCACTGACACAAATACAAAATGTTCATATGAAATGCACACATGAAAATGAAAGTCATTTTAGTACTGTAAAAGAGCAATAATGCCAAAAAATCTCAAATGCCTAACAACACGTAATTCAATTCTTGCTGTATTATATTCCTGAACAGATCAATTGTTGGACCTCTGCATAACAAATGGTGAAATGATCTTGACCTCTTAGAACAGAAATTGTTTTTCTTCCACTTTGTGTCTGGAGAGCCTAAAAGAATGACAACTATGTTCCATACTGTAATTTATAAAGTGTCCTTAATCTACATAATTTATATTATATGGAATACATGTGACGCCACAATAGCATGGAATGCCCTGGATGGATATTTCGTTTATCTACTCTGTAATGGGTAACAACTGGTTGGCTTCACTTCATTCTGTGTTACTGCCTTTATTTTTACCCAAGGCTGAGACTGTAATTACCCCAGCCCTAACAGTAGGGGTGGCTGAAAGGCACGCCTGGACTGCCTGCTGTGGAGTCTCCAAAAGGCTGGATTCAGAGTAGCCACCCCAAACCATCTGATTACCACTTGACACCGGACACAAGAAACAGCCAACAGGGAAATTCAGTTCGTTGGTTCCCTTTCCATAATTGTATCATATTTCATGCAAACTGGAAGGTTCAATAGGTGAAGAGGTCTTATAAGGAATTTGAACATTTGCCATCTTATCATTAGGTAATGACATTTTAATAGTTTAATTAACCATCAGGCAGTGAGAAGTCCAGCATGAGAACTGTTGAAACTGCCTAATAATTAAGTCACGAAACAAGATATGCTGCAGGGAAGGGGAAACAATCCTGTTTGTTTTGAAGGGAGTCTTGAAAAGAGTTGGGTAACAGGACAAGAGGGAGGCTACCCAGTCTTCAAAGGAGTCTGTAAGAAGGTCGTAAGGTATTTAAAAAACGCCCCAAACATTCAAAACTTCAAGTAATAAAATCTGTAAAATCAACTTCAAAATAAAATTATAAATAAAAAATGTTAAATAATAAAAAGCACTTTTGATATTTAGCCATAAAAAAATGCCTGTTGGGAACAAACCGTACATAAAATAAAACCAACCCAAGACCTTACAGTACAACAGTACAAGTGTTGATTTAATACACAGCATTAACAGTTTTGTTGCTCACCTATCCAGAAGAATTTTAAACAGGGTGAAAATGTAAAGTTAGCCAATTCCAGTACCTCTAAGCAACTAGCACCTTGAAGGAGTTCATGTGAACTTTACACCACCTCAAGTTACACCTGCTAATGAAGTGACAAGGAAACAGCCACGCTACAAGCTATTTTTAGTGGAAGGAACAAGTCCCAGTGATACTGGGCCAGCTGAGGAGCAGGGAATTAACTAAGAAGTTCCCTAAAGGTCCTTCAGCCAAGATTCATCCCTTGCCCAAAAGTCTGAACAGCTCTGTGAAACTGCTGTGGTTTTTTTTTTCCCCACTTGGTATCAGTAGTGCAGAAGACTCAAAAGTACCACTTTGAGCCAAGTAGCAACTGTCGTGCACAGATATGGCTGAGTAACATATCAACTACAACTGGAAAGAAAGATGACATCTGGCCCTCCAGTGATGGTGCAGGTAAATGAATGAATTTAAAAAAAATAAATCAATCCACCACCAAGCACAGTTAAAAACCAACAAACCTTGAAGCTCTCTGTTCCAGAGTTTTCCCCAACAGAAATGCCAGAACTTATTTACTGATCAGATTACTTGAGGAACATACAACTGATTTACCCCCTTCTCTTAAGGGCTGTAAGTGGTTTCAAATACTACAGTAAGTGAAGCCCACTTGCATAAAATGCTGTTAAGTGTTCATAAGGTTACTGGGTATGTGCAGCAATTTGAAAAATTGCCAGTAAAATACCACTATTACACATTTTCCCTTTAAAATACATGCATTTCAGCAATTAGATCATATGTAGACATATGTAGCACAGCAGAGGGAAGGAGAGAGAGAATTTAGGATGATGCCAGATCCCAGTGCTAGAAGAAACATGAATGGCACCTGCTGCCTATGGCCCCAAGTTCATTTTAACTCTGAAGAGCATCTGTATGCAGACTTTGTCTACAGAAATATTCTCTGCATGGAACAGGGAAATGAAGGAGAGGGCAGGAATGTCACATTGTGAAGCCTAGTCACTGATGAACTATGCCCTACCAAGGTATGGTAAGGTGGCTGAAGCACTGTGGAAGATGATCTTCAGAGCATTACAAAGCACCTGAAGTTGGTTCTGCATATAACAAGCATATGGCTGTATGTCTAATGTATGTCTAATATACATCAACTCACCTGTCATAGATGGTGCCAGTTTTCTTTGCCCTTTGTGGTCCACAGTACCTTCATAAGCTACAGTCACATCATACACTGCATCCAGATAGTCTTTCATTGTGTCAACGGCTACGTGAGTTGCCTTCACGCGTGGCGTTAGCACATGCTTTAATATAGCAAGTCCTAGAGGAGGGAAAGAAAAAAAGAATTACAGTGTTTGAAAGGAAACTGGACTACATTCACAAAACGAACATCATGCCAAGGAACTTCAGCACCCCCACTCAAAATCACAAAAGGTTTATTTTTAATCTCAATTTTCAGTTGAGAGAACAAGCGTGTGCACGTGCACACTGCATATGCTCCACTGAGCACATGTAGAAGATGAAACAGGAATCCTAAATGATATTAGTGACAGAGAGGCTGCTCAACAAAAGAGTCCTTTTTACAGCTCCTGCTTTAGAAGCGGTGATGGTTTTAATGTGGCTCATAAGGGATGAAATATCACTTCGCTTTACTGTTTATGTTTGTCCAACTGAAGTAAAAAAAGCGCAAATTAACTGAGAAAAACTAAACACACAGGACATCACATCCTGAAATTCTGTATCAGAAACAGACTGGGTAGATGAGGCATAAGCACAGATAATTTTAAGCATGCTCCTCTGCATTTTACCTCCAAAGGACAAACCAATTTTGTCAATCCTAGTACTGTCCGACGGTAACAAAAAAGTGGTTGTCTTAAACTATACATGCTTAAACAGGATGCTACATTTCCCCAAAGCTACCATGCTATCAGAAATTTCAATATGTTTTGGTTTTTTTTCTACTACAGATTCTAGCTTTCCCTGCTTTTGCTTTCTTCTCCTAATGGGACATTCTGGGATGTTAGATATGGTTACTCTGAGGGTCCTCACTTTGGGGAATGACAGCTTCAAGACAGCTTCAGCCCAGTGCAATGACTTGCTGCTACAGAAGATGGGACATTCCACTTTATCCTTGCAGTTGTTTCCCTTACTGCTCTCTTCCGCGTGCTTGTTCCTGCTGCTAACCTCGTATTGCTCTGGTACCCCCCTCCCACCAGCTGATTCAATTCACCATCCCACCAGAAAACTAAACAGGGAGGGAGAAAATACAGGACCAAGAACCAACAGCAAGGAGGAAACCTTCTCTGTTTCCCTGTGAGCAACTTCTTACAACTGACTTGGCTACTAACAAATCCACAGTCACAGAAATCAACTGTTGTCCTTAACCATCCAGGCCAAGGCACAGAGATTGGTATGCCAAGGACACAAGAACGTCAGGGTTAACAGCACTCCACAAGTCTTAACAGGAGTATTTCATATTCATGTTTGCTTCAGCTGACCACTTCCACCTAGAGCATACTTAAGAACATACAAATACGTTGGATTTGAAAGTATAAACTTTATTCTACTTCCAGAATTTTATTATACAATGACTTTCAAAACGAGACAAACAAAAAACCCCAAAACCTTTTAATGATCTGAACACAGCCCTTCCACACTTACTTGAAAGTGCTTCTAGAAAAAAAAGCATATTATACAAAAAATGTCACTAATTTGCTATAAGAGGTTTATCTTCCTTGAAGAGGAGTAGCAGGATAAAATTGCAATTATTCCTTTCTAGCCTTATTTTTCATTGGCTTACTCTTCAGTCCATTTTTAAAGAACCATCCATTAGTGCTATTGGTTCCTCATAGAGGAAGCAGAATTTTTTCTGAAGTATTGTTGTATTGCTTCTGATATCTCTCTGCTTGCAAAACCAATTCCAAAGATGATATATTATGTCCTGATTTTGCACTGAACTTCTCTCCCTTGTTTGGCAAAGCGTACTTTGATCTAAAATTATGAAAATACCTATCAAACACTGTAAGGTAATGCTAATTTCTAAACCACTCTAACATTCTTATAGTTGAAAATTTCAGTATAAATAATTAACTTGATTTCTTTATATTTGCTAGGAATCTCCTTGTCTGAACACAGAGATAAAAGGTTATTTACTAGCACTCCTTCTGAAGTCATTGTTCTAAGCTTTACCGGCAATAGTGATAACTGTCTATGCAAAATGTTATATGGATCATGTAAATATTTTGAAGCATAACACAGTGGTAGTGTTTTCTTAGCTTGTGAACTGTTACATCAAACAGCTAATTATCTTATGTTTCCAAATGTTTACTCTGTAAATGAAGCACTGAATATTCTAGTGTTGTGTCAGCAATGATATGTGTGGACATGTCACTCAACACAACTCTTGTTGATCCAAATTCCCAAACATATTTAAAAAAACCCTGTCATTCCTTTCCTGCCCAACTCATCTTCCCCTTAACCAAAGTATTACTGTGGGGAAGTAAAATGGAAAACAGGCTTCACTGAGAACTGAATCCTCTAGACAAATTAATTTAGGTATCTAAGGCTATTTGGTGCTGAGTTTTTTGAAACCATGGCCAGTTTTGGTGATGAAGATGGTCAGTGACAATCTCTGAAGTGCAACTCTAGAATAATCCCCTCTTACTCCACATGCTACCAGTGAACTCTTGAAGGTTTAAGTACAAAAAGAGTATGCATCTAATTAAAATCAATATTAAGTCCATAATCCATTATTCAGAAACACTCCAGTGCATGACAAACATGCAGCAATAACAGGAGTTCATCACATCCTTTTAAAGAATCTATTTTATAAAAAATATTAACCATGCATTCTTGCAATTATTTGGTGATCTTTCCTAAGATCAACATAACAGAATTTAAACCCAAGTAGTTACAGTATAGTTACCTTGGCAAGCTGCCTGCATCCAATTCACAAAACACACTGTGCTTAAACTGTTTTTAATGTTGTGCAATACTAAGTTCGGACTCTCTGTCAAAGTATTTGAGGTCATGAGATTTTATTTTAAATGCCAAAGAAAACAAACTTCTTGTCTAATATGTAATACTCTACCTTAAAATGCTATAGCTTTGCTCTTCTATGTTAGCTAACTTCTAAATGATAAACAGACATAAACAAATATGAAAATAATGTGAAAATCTGAAGAAATACAGGGAGCAATGGTACTTCAAATTCAAGTCCGTTTACTAGACTATAGTAAGATGCGGAATTACTTCAGAAAGTCTGCAAGAAAACTGAACGAAATAAAGTTAAGGTTTTAGTTTGGGAAGTACAAAAGCCCAAACCATTAACATCTACAGAACTGAATTTTTTGTCTAAACACAAAAGAACAAAACCCACCAAACAGAACATCACTTATCTAACCTCCCGGGGTGAAGTTACATACATAATGGCTGAGGACAACTCAATCAAGAAGATCTCCCTTCCTCTTCCCTTCATCCAGGCCAAAAACTCAGAGCTGTTCAGTGCAGGCAGGCCATCTACAGTTTCAGACCTTGGGCTCCACTAGTCATATTTGTACCCCTGACGTGCACACACCACTTTTTTAAATGAAAACAATAAAAAATCCAGCTCTAAATTAAGAATGCCCTATGTGTATGCCATTTGCATTACCAGACTTCATGAACAAAAGTTACATGCTCACTGAAAGTGGATGTCAGAATTAGTCTGAGGGGTTTGTTTTCCCTCTATAAAACCATTACTTTGTTACTTGACAATAATACAAAAGCTGAAAGCAGGGTGAGAAAGAATTCATTGATTTCAATACCAGTTAGATCTGTCTTTCCTTATTTTTCCTTTTTCGTGTGAATGTGTGCGCAGGATTGATATTAGACTGAAAGCTTTGCTGTTAACCTGGCATGTCCCAAGTACTCGCCCAGCCCTGAGTTCCCAGCAGCCTTGTGGAATGCCCCCTGTGATCAAAGCCTTACTAATTGAAACCAGAGTCCAGAGTTACACTTACGACATATGGTGGGAGAGCTCATCCATTTGTATGTTACTATTCCATCAACTTACCTAAATAGGACTTGGCTGAAGATAGTATTAAAAAATTGCACGCTCTTGTAAAAAGTGTTTTGTTACCATGAACTAAAGTACAAGAAATGCAAGGAATCCCCTCAAGAAGAGTGTGCAGTAGTTTCTTGCCTTCCTAAACTTAATTTCCCAAGGATGACTTTTAGTAACAGAAATCCTTTCTTCATCCTAATGGTAGGTCTCTCAAATGCTACTCAGGGTATCCCCCCCTTTTTTAAAAATTATATTCTCCTTTCCACACCTCACTGTGCACTTTTACATCAAGCTTGCTTACATGAAAAGTGCGTGGAAAAAATACCACCACAAGCGATTTTCTTTAGAGACAGTTCCAAATAACATGTATGGATATTAAATACTCCAGATTGCTTTAAAATACAATCTAAAACCAATGCCAAGATCTAGAAGGGAAACATTTTCGATTAGCTCATTTGAAATACCTCTTTTTTACGTGACCTGTAAAAGCAATTTTGAGATAAGCATATCCTGCACGTACAAACGTCTTAGCAGAAAGCATGATACTAGTTAAGATAAACTTAGCATTAAAAAAAATTTATATTTGCAACGTTTGTGCATAAAAACAAGGGAGATAATAAATGAATACCTGAAATGTTTGCTTGATTAAATGACCTTTGTTAGAAATCAAACATTAATAAAAAATCCCATAAATGCTCTTCACCAGGGAAGATTGTTTTGTCTTCATTCAGCAAAAGCAAGCCAAGTTAAATCTAAAAAGCTTCTCACCCCTTTCTCTTTGACTTTTCAGAGTTAATAACATTAGGAGTGGGAGAGCTTTGGATTATTCTTATTTATTTTCAAATCTTTAAAATGCCATTTCTTAACATTTGGATAAAATTAATATCCTCCTAAAACTGAGAAGCCTGTGGTTGTCTGGAAGATTATAGAGGTCTAACTACTAGAAAATGATCAGAAATCTATACATACATATTTTGGGAACATATAAATGGAACAAATTTCATACCAGAAGCTGGTACAAAAAATAGTAATAATCATATATTTTGTGAGTTCTATAGAAATTTTGTTCTATAGTCCAGTACTATTAAAAAGACCCAGCTTTAAAAGAGTTACAGTTTGAAATAAATACATAAGAGAAAAATTACCCCTTTGAACATTGTGACAAGATTAGCGTTAAATCCCTGTGAAAATATGAGTGCCACCTACATATAATTCCCTGGACTCAGCAACTCAAGCCCACCGTATGGAAGAATTGCTGCACTTTTAAGGTGCCTAAACTAATAGATTGGAGCCTAAAAGGGGTCATCAATGTGCAAGTCAACTGAATGAATGCATCAGATTTTGAAGACGGAAATCACTTTAGCTGACTACTTCTGTACAATGGAAAACTACAGCGAACTCTAAGCTAAGATTACTGACTATAAGCTTAAATTATCAGAAGTTGGAAGGCAAAAGCTCAGAAGACAAGGGTCAAAACACATGCTGTCACATTCTTGTGTCTTCCAGAGAGGAAGAAATATTTAATTTGATTCTGAGAATCTTCCAAGATGTCCCATTAAAAACACATGAATCACTAGCCATACTGAAACATGAAGAAAGAGAGCCTGTCCTGGTAGCAATTGCTGGAATAATCTCACACAGCCACCTACTTCCCATCAGGAAAGGACAATCAGGTGTATCAGGTTCAAATCCAGCTACATGGCACATATCCCCATTGGTTTGGAACCGGGGGGTTTCATTTGCCTCCAACAGAAATGAGAAAATCTGACATCTTCATCTGATATTCTGGCAACAATGCTTACATGGTTTGCTGTAGCTGTGAAACCCCAGTAAATATTGCTTTTTTTTTTTTTTTGCTATTGCTATTTATTGCAACCTTATCAAGTTAGTGATGTCCCTGCTCACTGCAGGGGGATTGGACTAGATGACCTCGAGGGGTCCCTTCCAACCCAAAACATTCTATGATTCTATGATTCTATTTTGGCCACCAAAGATAAATACTGGATTAATTTTCTCAACTCCACCGAATTTAACTTGTTCTATGAATAACTCCTGCATTAATCCTACCACAAGTAACCAAACAACTTAGTTTTAGAGATGTAATTTTTGCTTTTGTTTTTGAACTTTGAGAAGCACATTTTTTCTTCCCCTATGTGATCAAACAAATGTATTTTGTGTTTAAAACGCTTCCTGTTCTATCCTGGGTAAGAATCTGGTCTGATTGGAATTTTCTGCCACTTGTAAAATGCGTAGAAATGAGTAATCTTCGGTTTCTGAGGGTACTAGCATTACCCCTAGATGACAACATCCTCTATTCATCACCATAAAACCAGTACTCCTGGAAGTAAGCAACTTTCTGTATCTCACTGAATACAATTGTGGACAGAAGTTACAATAGTGTTCAAATTAATTAGAATAGAGTTTTGCTGTGTCAAATCTATCAGTGCTGAAGGCTGATACACACGTGTCAGTCTCCAACATGAAAACCATGAATACTAATGCCCTAATTTTATCAATTTTACCTCTAGATGTTTTTGGCATTCTTTGATTTTAATAAACAAAAACCTGGCAGTAAATTCAACTTGAACTTGCAAGGTAGTTAATGAGAAATTTGAAAGATTTGGATTTAATGTTTTGCTGTATTATAATACCCTTTACTTCTTTCTAAAAGTAGTAAGAAAGTACACAGTCCTATTCCTTCCCTAGAAGTTTCTCTGCTTTAGAGCCTTCAGTCTCAACTTATTCCTACCCATGTCTACCCAGATCTGTTGGAGCTACCCTGTGTGTTTGATTTACCTGTGTTTCAGGAAAAGGAAAACCATCTGCTCTTGCTAGGAGTCAAAATTTTGTGTAGAACCCAAGTCCTATGGCAGAACAAACTGTAACATGATGTATTATCAGTATTTAAAAAAAGTTGCCTGTCCTTCAAGGGTGACCTCAGTCACCTTTAAATTCTTTTGCTGTTTGATATCTTTCCATCCTCTTCATAGATAGATAAGATTTACTTATATATTCATATCAATGAGGAAAGACATAATAGTGGAAACCAGCAATGTCAAAATATTCTTTTGGCTATCAAGCTAAGCCTTTTTTTTTTTTTTTTTTTTAAATTTCTTGTTGTTGAACTGACCAATTATAAAGAGGCGGCAACTGTGTCCAAAACTGGTGTTTACTTAAAAAGAACATTAAGATGTGAGATGCAGATCATCAGCTGGTCACACAAAGACCAGGTAATTAAGTTCAGCCCAATAATGCTGCTTAAACCAGCGAACCTTCTCTAGAAGAGAATCCAGCCCATGGAGAGTAAAAGTAAGCACAAATCCCACAAAACCCTGTCATACTTCCTCTCTGCAAGACTACTAAAACATATACACACACTTATGTCAAAAACAGTATTTCAGACAGCATGATAAACATGAGTTATGGCTGTGCTCTAGGAATAGCTTTGGTATCTTTGGGTATATCTCTGGTACTAACATCGATTTGAAGTATAATTCTTCTTAATTTTTCCAGTATAACACTTGTACTATTTCTCAACATAAAATTGTGAAAAAATATAGGAAAAAAAATCATTATAAAGCTTGCATTTCAAGGAATAAAACAAATGAAAAAATTGCCCTATGTGTTTGTAAAGTGAACACTGAAGCACTGTGCTCTGTAAGAAATATACTAAGACAACAAGACTAAATGATCAGACTTCTTTATACCCCCACAAGCAATGAAGTGCAAATTTTAAACTGTAAGTTACAGTAAACCCTCATTACTCTGACTGGCAGAACTACTGGGTACTACTACCTTTCCTAAAACTGCAGGAAATAAGAAGCCTCCAGGATCTTTTAGACAAGCATGCAAATGAGCATTTTTAGTTCAACTCAGCCATGTCACGTAACAGCCCTTGCATGCTTACAAGGAGCGTGGACAAGCATTGAATTTACACACCACCAACTGGCGAGGCGCTTGGTCACAGCTCCCATACTGCAGCCCCAGCATGCGTCCAGCAGCCGGGACCGTGGTGGCACTGGGGCTGCGGGGTGGAAGCCACAAGCTGGGGCCAGCACCACTGCACAGCAGCATGGGGGGACCCTGGGGGGTTGTCATCATCTCCTGCTGGTGGCCATGCGGAGTTCCCCATTCTTGCAACCCCCGAGGTAATGGTGTGTACCTCATGGCTCTTAGGCACCAGAGTAGTTTGGTCTGCAGCTTTCGGTGTCAGCCATCCCTGCTTCTCAGCATGGTTGTACAAGGGATGCTCTAATTCAAGTGAATACCAATCTTTGCACGAACATGCAGGGAAGCAGGATCCCATGCACAGTGCTTCCCATTCTCTCCATAGAAAAAGTTGAAGAGAGACCAACAACAAAAGAATTTAGCAGTGAGGAAAAGCAGATCAAGAGGATTATGCACTAGAATTGGAGATGCTTTTTGTTTAATAAATATTTGCCTTGAGAGTTTTTAAAAGGAGTAACCCTTACAAAATAAGATCAGACCAATACTGGTGAGAAAAGCACTAGAAGAAACAAACAGGTGATTTGAAAGCACAAAAGCAATGTTTTACTGTTTTGCAGACTGTAATTAGGAGGTTTATTAAAATAATTAATGATGAGAGCCCTTTCTCTTCCCTGAAAAAGGAGGAGAGAGGAAAAAAGCCCTATCAAACACCCCCTCTGAACTCCCAAAGAACCGCTGATCTAAATGAAACATTTGACTTTCATTTCCGACAGGAAACTGAAGCGATGAATAAATACGTTATGACTTAAGCTCTCCTGCTCATACACGCAAACAAATTCCAGTCTTCCCAAGGAGGAGAAGAAAAGCATATATCCTTTTGGACAAGAGTTAACAATACTTAATAGCTTGATGATATCAACAGGCTGATTCACAGACTTGTGAATTCATTTCAGTGTGTAACAGAAATGAATTTACCAGACCTATTTGTTATTCTTTGTTTACCTTCAGAGTGAATTATTTCACTTTTGGTCAACAGGAAAAAACAAAACCAGGAAGCATGCTCACTGAACTGTTGGACTTAGAAGTTTACGTGTATTGTGCATATGATGTGAGAAAAAAAAAAAAAAATCAAAAAGCTTGGGACCCTTAGATTTTTTGCAAGCCCTTCCAAAGATGAAGTAATTCCATCTGCGGTTATAGAGACAACGCCAACAATCAAAGCGACTACAGAATAAAGTTCAACCAAGGAAGGGTGAGACTGGAAGGTAAGAGACCAAAAAGCCATGGTAGTACTAACAGTAATTAAAAACGAAGTGATGGAAGATTTTTTAAGGCACAGCAATCTCTATGCAAAATATTCTTTATATTGAGTAACAACTGTAATTGGAGTTACAACTTTAACTTAGAGAGAACAGTGCCCTGATCAGTGTAGGATCTTATGTCCCTGAAAAAGCAAGAAGTGTCCATAAATACACAGACAGAAACTAAAGGAGCTTTCTTGAGAATCAATACTCTTGCTCAATGTGATTAGTATGAAATGTCTGTATATAAGTTACTCTCATCTTACTCTGTGGTGAGAGAAACACTGGCTTATGCTATTCTAACCCTTAAGTATCAACCAGGCAGGCTTGACAGTCCAGTTAAGGTGAGATCATCTTCATATTATACAACAATTTTATAGAATAACATATGCTAACACCACAACAAAAGAATTATTTCAAAACTTTTTTTTGCTTACCTTCCTTTTCAGCAAATGATTGACTATCTGCAATGACTTTTGGTATTTCTGGATTGTAACGAGTCCCCTCTGGAAAAATCACTAAATACATCTGTGGGATTAAAAAAAGAAAAAAACCAGACAAGTTCTTAGAAAAAATATAAGCCAATTCCTTTTACAGACATTATCATCACTTTATAGGTCCATATTGTATTTAGTTCACGCCATCAATTACTGTAAGGATCCAAAGAAAATCAGAATACTTGAGCTAAATTTTTTTAGCTGTAAGAAACTTACTGTTCAAGGTTCAAAATAATTTTCTTGAAATGTACCCCACAGAACGTTGCTCATTGCCAAGGTGATTTAGGAAGGGAGATAGTCAACAGAAGTGAGCAAATCAGAAGCAGCTGATAGCAACAAGAGTATCAGTTTTGTTATGTAGGATAAGAGGAGATTTTGAGAAGACAGTCAAATATGTCACAGATGACCTAAATTATGTTTTTTTCTTTAATACTGATCTTGCATCTAGTCTTTCCTTAAACTAAGATATAACTTAATTCCAATCATAATCAGAAATACTATTAATTGAAATTATGATAGATCAGCTACTTTATGTGCCTTTATGCATCTCACTGTATTAGATACTAAATATATTATGAACTTAAACTCATAGCTTAGCATAATTTCAACTTTCAAGTCACATTCCTTTAAGCATGCATGTCTGCAAGGTTAGATTTCCCAATTAGTTCGCTTGCCTATTCTGCAAGAACTGTCTATGGGTTCTCAAATCATTACACAGGTAAAGGTTGCCTGAGTATCCGCATAGCTGAGGGTAAAATTATGCACCTGAATAGAAGCAGTTAAATATGATGAATTTTCCATCTGCTTTTGAAACAGAACACAGGTTTCCATCTCTTTTGTGTGTGTGTGTGTGTCTTGCATAATCTCCTACATACAAAATTGATGCAAAACATTACTTAAGCAGTGAAAATTTCATATTGGGGGCTCATCTGCAGAAGAGAAGGCTACGGCCACAAACGGTAACTAGCATGGAGTTGAACATGCCACATTCACAGTAAAACCATGCTTACTGTGCCTAGACCAACTACTTAATTTGCTATCTTTGCAGAAATGAGTTTCAAGAAATATTTGAAAGAAAAAGAGATAGTGGATTTACAAAACAGTCCAAGGAGGATTATCAGCGAGTACAGGAAGACACTGACAAGTGGGAGTGCACATCCTGGAAAGATGCAAAGTTAAATAAAAACTGAGAAAGAAACACATAAGAATATGACTGTGCTTCCGGCCCATAAAACATCAGAGTATGCTGGCATTTGCATTTAATGATTGCAGAACAGCTAGAGAAAAGGCTAAATGCAGAAAGACAGGACCCAGCAAGCAAACTCTCCAGGATCACCCCACAGTGAGTAAGGTTGAAAGATGTGCTAAAATGCAGAGGAGGGAAGAAGCCTGGGAACTGTGCCAGCAGTGCATCCAGTGAACCAGTGAATCCAGCAGGAGATCAAGGAGAACTGAGTACATAGCCTAGAATCTGGCAAAAACCAACATTAAGAATGGCAGACCCAGCATCAGTAGGGTGGAGTAAAGAGGGCTAGAGGGAAGTCTGTACTTGTCATGGCATGTTTGGGGAGGAGGAGAACTGGAAGACCGCGGAGGCAGCTGAAGTCCAAGAGTGTTCAAGAACTCGCAGAAACCCAAGATGCATACAGATTTGGTGGAGAAAGAACAAAAAGAAAATGTGTTTAAGAGGCAATGTGCTTACTTTTTTATAACATGACAATAGCATAAAGCACAGGAATCCTTAGACCCAACTGCAGTCCATACTTCCCCCAGTCATGTACAGGTTTCATCTACAAAGTACACTGTTGAGATACTTAAGTGACTAAGTAAAACTTTTTGGAGTTAGCTGCAAAGGGCACAATATTCAAATCCAGATGCATTTTTTTTTCATAAATGTACTTATATTCATAATTCGAATCCTTAAAATGGTACTTCAAGATGAGGTTACTTCCCTCCCTCCCCATTAAAGACCGAATGCTCAGCTCCAAAGGGTAATACAGTGGCTGTAACAAGTAGTAAGTGACAGAGCAAAGAAAGTGAAGTGCACAGGACAGAAATACCACTCTTGGTACAGAGGTCAGCACTTAACAACATTGCCGGTCTTCAAAGCAGATAATCAGCCACAGAAAGCTGATTACACAACAGAGAATAGTACCTACTTACTCCAGTCCTATGTGTGTAATACAAAGCAGGGGTTGAAATTATATTTTAATTATTCTTGTAAACTTCTAAAACACAAGTGGCTGAACAGGTTTGTTGACCAGAATCTGGGTATCTCTGAATTGAAAGCATACCAACAAGACAGAGAAGTGGCCTTTGCTTTAAATTCAGTATATATAAACGTAATATATAACTCATTAGGACTACCTTGCCTCAGAAAAATTCATACATGTAAATAGATGTCCTACTTATACTCACATACAGTACTGCACAAGACAAAGATATTCTGCCAGTGTGATTCAGCCTACCACACCTACTGGTATGGCCGCCTTTTCTCTTCTCCCACCATGGGCAGCAGAAGCTAAATCCTTAAGCACTATTGCCAAAGATTATAAGAACTGTAAATCTCTAAGATTTTAATAATTAAATAAGCTCCCCTGAACTTGGATTAAAAACTGTTCAGTTGTAGGAGCATTTTAATTGCCTAGAAACACTAGCTGCAGTGAAGGGATTTTTTAATACAGAATCTTTCATTTAGGGCAATTAGCTAAAAGTTACGCACTTTATCGCAGTGACTCCAAAATACAGTGCTTGTGTTCAAAATGGCATAGAAAATTTCATGTTACCGTAGTTCCTTATTCACCGATATACCACTTTTAACCCAAGCAGAGTAGGTCCCTATGTTCAGTTACATGGTACTTTCATGCCTGTTTCTGTGTAATGGGTGGGTGTCAATACCCTTGCTATCTCTCATCGATTTGAAAGCTTCAAGGAATGGATGAGGATTAATTTAGTAGAACCTTACTGATTCTTGCTGGCGCCAGAAAACCAGAAAAGAGGCAGGAGTTACCCAACAGAACAGTAGTTGTAACTACTGCCTAAAGATATCTTGCATTTACTATGCTGTTCTGGGTGGGTGACATGGGGAAAACAAATATTTTTATGTACAAAGTTCAAAATTATATTAAACTATGCATTTGCTTAGTTTTAATATTATTATTGCACCCTGACAACTAGACAGATTCATATCTGAATCCATTTAGACCACTGCCTAGAAGATACGCTTCTGGTGAATTCGATGAGAAACATTAACACTCAGATCAGTAACTGAATAAGACATGGCATGAGAAAGCGTATCTGGTATAACTGGAACAAATACCAAAGGTGATGTGGGGAAAGCAGGCAAGGACATCCAGGATTTACAAAGCAAGTTGTCAGGGATTTGCAAATTAGTAACTATATGACAAAATAATTACATTAAGCCTGATAGCAGTTGTATTAATGTATCTGTCCCCTCCAGGTTTTTACTGTTTGATTGACACTGCTTCACATGACAAAGATTTATTCCGTGACTGAATGAATGACAGGAACAAAACACATAGTGACCAGCTAAATACTGGCTGTACTGGGTTAAATTCCACATCTCAGAATGCAGATTTCCCACTCTCGATGCATGATAAAAAGAAACCTAAGTTACATTTTCAGTTATCAAACTGAATAGTTTGCTGTTCAGAAGAGTTAACTTTCTTTATAAAACAAGCAGATTGAGTATATCAAGTATCGGCTGGATATGTTGTTACATTGAGAAATGTGTTTATCTTGTTATGGCTTACACTAAAACAACATTAACACAAAAGTGTCCTTCAAACCGTGTGACAGTCTCTGCTCTCACAACAAGACATAAGACTGCAATTTGTTAACATCAGCCAGATTTTCTGCAATTTTAAACAAAATCATGTTTTCAACTGAGTTGTGCCAGTAAGAGGCCCGGTAATGAACCATTGGAGTGTATAATTCAATGACAGTTTGAGAAGCGTAATAATTTCCAGAAAGAAATAAGAAAATTTATTAGTTCAAGAGCTCCACTAAGAAAACACAGGTGCAACAGCATTTCAGTCTCGCCTCAGAGTTTTGTGCTTGTCTAATATTGCTGTGCTGCATCTGGGAAGAAGGGTGGACCAACTGCGAACAGGAACAGAAAAAGGGGCTGTTTAAGGCAGGCAGGTGGGCAGAAGTCGTAAGACAGGGCGAGAGAGGAGCATCATGCAGTCCACTGTCCCTACACAAAACAAAGCGTACCAGATCACTAATCCAGTTCTACAGTGAATGTAGAGGCCAAGAGGCAGCCTTCTATTTCCTGTCCGCATTCTACCTCCAATTTACTTTTCATTAAAAAAAAAAAAAAAAAAAAAAGCCAAAAAACCCCACATGACACGAGGCAGTAAAACAACTAAAAGCCTTGCTATGCTAACAAGAACAGTTCTGCCTTCCTACACGTCTTCAGTTTCTTAATGGCAACAGGGACGGCTCCAGGCGGACTGACCATTAATCATTTGGATTCTTTTGTTTAAACTGTATGTGGAGAGAAACTGTAAATAACAAAGTGACCCTTAACACAGATTCCCGTCCATCTCCTCTCTATTGCCATATAATTCTTTCCTCGGCAGCTGAAAGGCAAGCTTTTCTCTGACACTGCATTAAAGAAGGAACTCCACCACGTTCGCCCAGAATGACCAAGCAACAACAGCTGCTCACTAAACCGAGGAAAAGCCCACCCTCAGCTGCAGCATCCAGTGCATAAATTTTCATAAAAATTCCAGAGCAGTAAATTAATTATTTTCACATTAAGCTGATGAGTTTAGGGCATTCTTGCTTAACTGATTAAAATGTCTTCATTTTAAAAGCGATATGGTTGCTCATGAATGTCACGCTACGTTGCGGAACTGCAAAGTTTCTTCATGAATAATGCAATAAGGACACAGGTTATCACGTTCTTCTCCCAGTAGAAACTGTAGGTTAAAGGGCATTTACAGCATCTACATTTAAATTCTCAGACAAAATGGATTATAGAAAATTTAGTCTTCCCTCAAATGACAACTCAATGGTCAGTGTCTTTTACCCCAGCAGATGCAAACATTTGTCTCCATAAACAGGCTTTCGACAGCTTTGGTTTTGTAAAACTTGAATGTCACTCCCTATATGGTCTGACTGAAAAGAGATTTAAAACAGAATGCATTTCTGCAGCAGTTACACTTATTTCTCTTCTATACTGCTACCCTAGATAATGCAACGAAAATGACCACAGCTGCCTAGTAAGCACATCCAGGTTCTATGCCCACGTCCACCACCACCAAACTTCCAGACAGCCAAATTACACCTAAAACCAAATGTACTCAAGTGGTCTGAAATTCATTTGGCGTTAGCTTCAATAAGTTACATATAGGTTTTCAATCCACAAACAACTGAGGAAAAAAACACATTCTGGATTTATTTCATTCATTAGTCACATGTAGACATCCACCATAGAAAGCAGAATCCATAGCAGATGTAGCTTTGAAGAAAAGCTTTATGCTTAAACCTCCCCTTACATTCCAATTGAGCTAAAATCACACACTAGCCTGTACAGGCAGTTTACAGCACTGGAGTAATGCTGAACATCATTTGCAGGTTTCCAGAAAGATGGAGAATTAGATGAATTTCTATGCATATCTTCCTAAGACTGTATTTAAAAAAAAAAAGTCCACATTTTTATCAAGCAGACAAATTTAATGCAGAGTTCGAATCAAGACTCTTACATAATTAAAACTTTATTATTACAACAAACCCTTGCATTTTAGGGGGTGCAAAGGGAAGCCAGAAAGCCAGAGTCAACCAGAAGCTGCCTCTTTGGCTAGCAAGAAATCCATGGGTCTATGCAGGAAAACACCCTCCATCCAGACTAACTAAAGCAAAGTTAACCACCACTCTGCAGGGGAAGCAATTGCTTAGGGGGATGACTACAAAGATGTTTCATACATCCTGCAATTTGTCTTTGCTTATTCCATTACACTGTGAGTTTTAAAGAAAGTAGAATCTTTGCCACTGACATACAGAAAATAACTTGACACTATGCGGCCTCTTCACATCCCAGGACCCTCCCTGGTAATGCAGGCACAAGTTACCGCTATTGAATGTGGCCACCTTCTCCATGTGGACAACATTACATTAGACATTGGACAGGAAAAGTTTAGTTGTCGTAATGTATTTCTGGCCTTTGTAACTTATATGCTAAAAACTGGAAGTAGATCCACTTTCTTACCTTAACTAAAACAAAATACCCCCCTGTTCATGCTAAATCTTACCTCAAGACAAAATGAGTTTGAGCACTGTCTTAAACAGGGACATTTTACAGATTTAAGCATCTCAGTGAGCGTAAAGCCAGTTCACTTTTTCAACACAGACACATGCACAAACATAAACACACTATCTCCAAAAAATAAAAACAAGTAAGAAGACTATTATGAAGGTCAAAACAACCTATGCGTTCCTTTTACCCAAGCCTCAGTGGGTAAAGGTTTGCCACTTAGTATTTGGAGTGGCAAGCCCTAATCACATCATTTTAAGCAAAATGAAAGTGTAACTGTTCTATATCAAGGCTTGCTGAGTTGGTTTTCTTAAGTCTAGCCAAAAAGGCAGAAAACATTTCAATGCACAGCAAGTAATGGAAGCGAATCACAGTGATTCTAACCACTGAGCCACAAACCATACAGGGAGTCATGAGAAAAGTCACTTGGCACTAACAATCATTCTTCAAATAGAAAATTATCAAGAGGGTTTTTTTTTTCTCCTCCTCCAGGCATAGCAGACAAACTTAGTTCTAAGATGTCACTGCCATTAAAAATGATTGATCATTGGGATGGCCAATTAAAATTTGGTAAGAATGGTTCTTGAGTTTCAGAAGATCAAACAACTGGTATTCCACAAAAATACCAGTCTCTGACAAGCATACAGTAGTCAAAATGTTGTCTTTTGAAACACAGGGAACACCAACAGTGATTTCTCAAGGAAGGTGTTAAAGCTTATGTTTTAAGATTTAGTCCAGATCCCCCCTGCCCTCTACAGACAGAATCATGTAGTTCGTATAGTTCATAAAGGACTAGTCAAATTTTCCTAAGTTTAATTAGACTGTCACTCTAATCACAGAAAGTAGCTGTGAAAATACAGAAAGAACACAAATCCCTGATTACCATCTTGTAGTTTGTAGGTATCAGGAATGGCAGTAAGTCTTTGCCGTTAAAAAAAGTCAAAGAAATGAGAAGGGGAGAAGGAAAGTATAGTCTTACCGGAGTCTCATTTTTCACATGGGCCCGCAACTTCTCTCTCATTTCTTTTTCATTGAATTTGGCACTTCTTTTTACATAGAGTCCTCCATGCTAACAGAGAAAAAAAAAAAAAAGTATTAAATATTTAAGTAGTTTAAGGTAGAATAGTTGATAGAAGAACAAACAAGATGACAGTGACAAGTCACCTTTATGACTCACGATGCAAATCGCCCACAAGACGTTTTCTCCTAGGAAGAAAGCACCTGAAACTAAGTTTACATTTGCACATGCTTAAGTTCACAAAATCTGTTTAAATAAAGATCAGATCTAAAAATAAAAATAAAAATTATAAGACACCTGAAGTGTCTTGTTTAAAGGTGTTAAATAATTAACCGGATGATGGCATTGGAACCCACCCCAGGGATCTATCTATTCCTGACAACACTGACAAGCCACTTAAGTTGCGTATCAAGGGAAAAATCACACAGCTGAAGTTACTAACATACAAGTACTTATAGGCTCACGTTTTCAATTTTACGTGCCCATTATTAAATAGTGACTAATGGAAATACTGGCATTACAAGTATTGTACCTACACATACAAAATTTATGAGTAGCACAAAAGTAACTAGCACAGGTCTTGGAAACTTTTATGCACTTTACAAGAAAATCAAACTTTTAATAAAGAAGTTATATACTGAAATAACAATTGAATAAGCAACGCAAAATCTTTAGAAGGCAGAGGATTTTATAAAAGTATTTTTACTGAAAATCGTATAAAAAGCTAGACCGTTCCCTGGAAAAGATTAATTTCAGAACTTGTTCCACACAATTTCTCACAAAAACTTCAGTAAAAGGGCTATGGCAAAGCACACACAAAGGAAGAGGGTTATAAAGATATAAAATTTGCCTCATCATTTCCCTCTTCCACTACTTTGCTTTATCTGCAGCATAGCTACAAGAGGATGTAAACAAACAGAGTCCAAAATGAACTACTGATACAATGGAAGTATGAAAAAACAAAAAAAAAGTTTCAAAATAACAGAATTTCATTTTTAAGGTACATTACTTCCATGGGTTTTCCAAGTGATTCCCTGACTTAGTAACTTACTCTTTTCTTCCCACCCTGACTGTTGGCATTAGGATTTGTCACACGATCTCTGCCCGTTTACGGTTTTACACACTCTTAACAGAAAGGTGACAGTAAGATTAAAACTACTAAGAGCTGAACCTCATTCAAATGTCTTATCTCGGGAAAAGATATAGTACATTGTAGAAACAGGGGTGGTGGTGTATGTGTGGGGAGCTATAATTTTATTTGCATGGCATGGACAGGAATAAAGTTTGAGGGGTAAGGAAAAGCAGGCAGAAGAGGCGGTTATGCAAAGCGCTTTCAGCCTTTGCTTTTCATGGCATGGAAAGACGGCCGTGCAGCTGCTTAGCTAGTGGTATCTGACGTGACTTTTAAGTTGTTCTCCAAAAGCTGCAGCGAAAAGGAACAGCAAGTCAATAGTACATTAACTCCATATTAAATATTCTGTCTTAACATTATTGTCTGTGGTTCCCTTCCAAGGTGAAGTAGCCAGCTGCGACACTCAGCTGTGCTGCTGTGGCTGGCAGGGGATCAAAACTAAGAACAGAACCCCCCAGCCCACCGACCCTGGCCTTCAGCAGGCTGGAGCATCGTATCAGCACCACCCCACAAGCAGCTTACCAGTCGCGGATAGATAACAGCATGAACAGAAAAACAGTTGTGCAGCAGAGAGCCACATGTTATCTACACGTTCCACGTGCAAGACCATTTTTAAGATCTGATGCCACTGAAGGAAAGTAGAAGTCTTATTCTGTACAGTGACACTCACCACAACTGCTTTCAGGAAGGGCAAACTTGGTTTAGTATGAGAAATAATGCATCTACTATACAAGACTTCCATGTAATTGGTAAGTCATCATTCTGTGTGAGCTCAGCTAGGTCAGGCTTTGATAAAGGAGGGAAGGCTGGAATCAAAGTCATCCCGTATTTATCAAATTACTAACCAGCTGCAGTAAAGTGGGAAAATACTGAACTGCCTTTTCCTTGTTTAATTTGTGAACTTGGAGAAATCAAGTTGCTATTGTACAGTTTGCCTGGGGACACCACAACACCAAAGACAGGTTTGGTGTCCCCACCTCAGACTTTTTAATGTTCAGAAATAGATTTGTATTTCTTAAGTAAATACGAGTATATAGTCACGTAATGTGAGAACAGACAAATTACATATTGTAAGATCACCATTCGCTGCATACAACCCAACTACATAAATACATCAGCTCCCCTATGGTGCAGGGTTACAAAGCTAGAGAGGCAAGATGCCATACTAGCTAAGTATTTGGCTGAAATTCAGTCACAACCAAAAGGTTGCACAAGCTGATGCTGAATAACAGAAAAGACAAAGTGCTACAAAGTCAAGCAAACTCTAGGATATCAAAAATATTCATCAAAATTACATCCCAGCCTCACCATGTGGTATAAGATGAATAGGAGCTATCTGCATTTTGGTGGAGAAAGATAGGGCAAAAAAAATTTCAGATCCACCCAAAAATAAAAAAGCCAGTTTTATGAAAAGAATTAGCTCTACCTAATAAATCAAACCTGGAACACAACAGGTTAATTTAAGTGGTTCTTTCCTTTTCTTGTATTAGATAGCTGCCTCAAAGAAGAATGCTAGTTATGCAATTGTATATAGCTCAAATTCCCCAATTTGTATTACATTTCCTTTTCAGTAAGAGATCAAATATATGAATGCTTTTCAAAACAGATTTCTGGAAGTAATGTTTTTAAGGTTATAATTTTTTTCCGCTGCACTTTAAAAGCCCCTCTCTCAGTCAACAATAGATTATGTTTACAAATATACTTCCTTTGTGCCTGAATTGCGCTCTCCTGGACATCCAGACCACGTTTATTTCCAAACAGGATGTTTACCTGAGGTAGGGAATATGAATTCCGTGAGCATGGCGTAATTACGTGGCTCTGGAAACTTTTAGTGGAGTGTAAATGACATCACTGACAGAACATCAACAGGAAGGGCAGGAAGTGTTTTATGTTTTTGCACTGTTTGGTGTGATAAAAACAATAAAAATACCTATTAGCTTGCACTGCAGTCCTGCTGCATCCCGTCTCTGTCATTTAAACACACACGCATCACTACGGTTAGCAAGCTGCCTTTCATTTGTGTCACTGAATTAAATATATATAATCATCCCCCACTAAATCTTGTAGAGGTTTTATGTTTTGAGAAATCCAAAGCTGAACAGATTTTATTTAATATATATGTTTTGATTAAAAATGTAGGCTACATTCAGATTAATTTCCACAGGAACCTTCTTTTAACAGTCAATACAGCAGTCAGGAAACTGAGCGCCGGATATTCCAGACAGCAATAATAATTTTCCAAAATCTTGAAAAAAATAATTTCTGGACACCTAGTGATAGCAGATGGAATATATATTCTATCGGTATTTTAATTAAAGCAGACTTAAATCACCACCAATGTAATGACTACAGGCAAGGACAAAGAGAAAAATATTTCCATGCAACAGACTGGTCACTTCAGTGGAAGAAAAATGTAGAGATCCAGAGTCGTCAGTGGGGACAAGCATTAGAAAACAGAGAAGCCCATTTTCTCCCAATGGATACCTGCAGGGTGTGACAGTCCATATTTATTTAGGGGACTGGGACAGCAAAGCCACCAATAAAAAGAAATTGTGAACAGTTTTCTTATTTTCTCTGCAGCATATTCTTTTCTAAACATAGCAATTTTAGAAGAAAGGATGGCAACCACCCATGCTCCAGCCTAGATTAATAGCCTACTCACTAAGGCTCTTACCCAGAAGACAACAAGCATTTTCAACCATGAAGGTGAAAAAATCAAACCTGGATCTCCCAGTATCTCAGGGGACACTCTAACCTCTTACACACTGAACAGACAGTAGGCACCTCAACCGCTACCTGTGCTCTAAGATAAAATGGTGGGACAGTTCACACCCTAGTGATAGGCATCTTATGTGACATGATCCAAGAGTCCAAATCTCTGTTCAAATTAGGTATCTACAACCAAGCTAGAAGACAACATCTGATTGCTGGGAAAGGCCACTCTTTAAGGCACTTCTTGTTCTTCAACATATTAGGTAGTTCATGGATCTGTACCTCCCCTCACCCAACACTGTCTAAACCCAATCCAACTTAAATTAGCTTCTTGGAGGCAAAGTTTCAGTGTCAACAGCGACACAAGGGCTATCCTGCCTCCTTCCCTCTTCCCACCCATGCCTGCATACTCAAAACTTTCCCCCTTTTGCTGGTTCTAGCAATCAACTGATCTGACTTGACTTATGGGTGCAAGAGTTCAAGTGGTAAGAGAAAGAGCATGCAGCCAAAGATGAGGGACAGAGTAAAGCCTCCAATTTGGACATACATCTGTAGTTGCCTGCTCTTCACATATTCCTTTACAAAGTAATACATATACCCAGCATAGTATTTCTTGCAATATCCCCTGTCTTCTTGGACAGAGCTGACAGTCAACTCAATCAAACTGTCTAATTCTATTAGAATTATTTTTCTAAGTGTTTTTTGCTTTTATGTGCCTCGGTGGCGGAGGTGGGGGGCAGAAAGCAGATTAATGTTCAGGGAACAGGTAAAGACTAAAGACAGAAGCCAAAGGAGAAAAATCTTATTGAACAGGCACTTTGGAACAGTTACCCAAAATTTAATCCATTTCTATTCTAACAGCTAAGCAGCCATCTAAAACCTGAGATATATACTGTGAAGCCATTTCACCTACCAAAACATACCAATACTTCCAAACCCATCCCCCTCTACATTGTATTTCATTTGTATATAGAAACAGTCCTGCTTTCAGAAATAGCAAAGAACAGACATGACAAATTCAGAGAGGATTTTAGGGAGGTAAACACATCTACACTGTTATCCACCATCTTAGATTAAAGATCACACCCACTCAGTACATTGGCTGTACAGTGACCATGGCCCACTGTTTCTTCAGTAATTGTGTAATTTTGAGTCACATAGGTTGAGCTCTCAAACTGAAAACAAGAGGAGCATCATGCAGGAAGAGGAGAAAGTAAAAGGTAGTAATAGGAATACTGTTAGACTCAGGCTTTTGCTTAACTGAAGTCCAAAGCAAAACCATCAACACTATCAGGGAGGCTGGGATCTGCTCCACACTATACCAAGGTCCAATTTTCCTCTTTTATATTGTGCTAAAACCAAACTGAAAAATAAATAAGTACACCACAGCAATGTCAATTTACTCCCAATTTGTAGCATGACAAAAAAACCCCACAACCCATTCATAGAAAAAAAAGTCAGGTTACACCTACTGCTAAGTGGGGTTTTGGACTGTAAAAATAACAAAGTTCTAGAATAGTCTGAAATGCTTCTAACAGACTCAACAGTTTTAATTCTAGTAATAAACACCATCCATAAGAAATATTAATTTAGAAAAGCAACCCAATTCTTCAGTAACTCTCAACTAAGATACACATGTAACTACACTGAGTGAAAACAGCTATTTTCGTGTTCAAATGAACAAGTGCCAGCTCAGAACTGCATCTTCCCAGCACGTATGAGAAATAGAAGGAAAGTACACCTTACGTATTTACCCCACTAACAGCAAGGAACAAGTGAATGGGCTTACCTGTGAAAAATACCACCCGTAGAGCGGAAGCCATTTTAACCCATCTTTCAAGACATAACGGACATGCCCGAGAGCATTCTGCCTAATTGCCAGCATGTCTGCAATAATCCAGTCAACTGCAAAGACAAAAGCCCGAAATGTTTAGGTAAATTAGTTTTTAATAGCCACTGATGAAACAAAAAAGCGCATGTTGTATGTATAAATATCGTTAAAGATTTCTGAACTAGAAGTTCTTGCTCATTAGGGCAAGGCTGGAAAGAGACACAGTAAACAGACAAGCAGATTTTTTAAAATCTGTAAAAGCACTAAGACAAAAAAATTACAAACCTGTACACTGATGATTTGATAAATATATTACATTTTCTTTATGTTTTGGCAAATCCCCGTAGATTATTACCTAAAAAAAAGGAAACATAGCATTACTTCTTTATTTATTTTCATTGCATTAGGCAGTGATGAGACCCCATGAGGGAATTAGCTATTTACTAGAAAAAACTGCCAGTGAGGTAGCACCATTAACAAAAAAACACCTCATCACTGCATCAGTACCCATCATACATACAACTGACTTATCAACAAAGCAGTGAATATTAATTAATGAGGGCTTAAGACAGCTATTCTGTTCTTGTGTCTCAGCCCTAGAACTGGATCTGTGGAAGCTGACCTGCATCCACAAGATCCCTACATTAATATAATTAAAGATAAAGAGAAATCATAGACGGGTACAAACCCACCATTTAACTTCACACATCTAACAAATACGACATGCTTCAGCGAGACACTTATCATTCAATCTAAAATGGTGAGTTTTCCTGGATTAGATCAAGGACAAAATCTCAACAATTTGTCATGACTTTAACCATCAAGAATGAACACAAAAGCATGAGGTTGAGGCCTGTCTTTAAATTGGTCTTCAGCTTCCAGCCAGCAGGTTTTGTTATGTTTTTCTCTCCGTTACATTAAAGACACCCTTTAACCTTGTAGTTACCCACCCCTGAAAGGTAATTGCCTACTGGTGAAATAACCTTCTGAGAGCATGGTTACAAAGCAAGATGCTGAAGCAGTAATCCAAGTCACCGTTTAAAATGGATTAATTCAATTACTTGTAATTCAAATATAAAATGAGAAATTAACTAAACCATTTCAATTTTGAATTAAAGAATCCATGTAGCCATTTAATTATCTTTAATAAGTATTTTCATTATGTAATGAAGCTTAGTTTTTCCAACCAGTACATTCTAGGTAGCATGCACCCCTTGCTCTGCCAATACCAATGGCTGCACTCCTTCTTTCTAGAAATTAGCTGTATTAAACACATATTCTTCTTCAAAGTGACTCCATTTACCAAAAACCAAAGCGCTATTTGGAAAGTTTACCCACTTATTGTCATCACTTCCCTAGTCTGGACCACATGGGAATTTTATTGGGAAGATCTAACTACTATTCAGATCTTGATTAATATTATTTAGTATGCCAAGTCTCGTATTGATCCTTACAGAAGGTCTCTACAAGAATCTCTGGAAAATCTGCCCACCTCTCAGTTAACCTGTGATACTGGATGGATAATGCCTTGTATTGTTACACTAGGCAAAAACCCCACATAAAGCTGGATGCTTTACATTCATGCTGTTCCTTCTTTTTCAAAATGCGACTGTACTGTTGATCAAATTTTGTTTCCAAGGCAGGAAACTAGATATTGGCAAACTGAGATATTCAGTAAATACGTGAACAAAAGATCATCCAGCATACAGTAAAGAGAACATTACTTATTTGATTCTTTTTTCCCCAAAAAAAGGCATGCACAATAAATTTTTAACTGAACATTATCTGTAACAAGTCAGTTGACAAGTATATTCTGAACAGCATCCAAGAAATTCAAACAAGATTTTGCTGTAGGAGTAATTTTCACATTAAAGTTCCAGGCGATTTTATAACCTTAGTTCTGACACTCTGGGTACCACACACAAGGTAGCAGTCAGAGGGTCTGATCTTACAGTTCAGGTGCAAAAATTCCACTGAAATGCAAAAATTATCTTGCTACTCTCAGTTATGGAGTTAAAGCTTAATTTCTCAAATGTATACTTTTCCAGCAGTGTTACGCACTAGGTCCATAAATACTGTTTTCTCTAATTTCAAGTTAAGACTCCACTATGCTGTTTCTGGCAAAGACTGTTTTAGAGGAAAGGAAAAGGCCCAATACAACAAAACACTAAACCAGAAGGTCCTGAATGCTATCTGTGCTTTTTTAAAATGTAGGAAAACTAGAAGAAGAGGAAAACAAAATCTGCTCTTGACACCATAAGAGCTGCCCCACACAAGAAATAGGGTTTGAAATATACAATTTATAACTTCAACTTATAAAATTCCCACTTTAATTTACAAAGTCAAAACTTCAGTGTAATCAGACCTGCAATTCAAAGTATTCACTTGTGACTATTGCATGAGTAAAAACAAATATAAAAGATCACTCCCTTAAAAACAAAAAAGTATGATTGTGCCTGCCAAATATAACAGTTAATCTGTATTATTTTTTATTTCAATAAGATTGGATCTAGTTCACTTTTTAATCCCCGAGGAACACCCGCTCATCATTACTGTAAGCAATTTCTGTGTACAACATTATGTCTTACCGTAACAGTTACATATGTTTACATGTAATGGACCAAAATTTTTAACTCCTGATAAAACACATAGCCATATTGTTGTAAAGAATTAAAAAAACCCCAAACCCAAAACACCAAATGAACTATCCTTTCCTATTTATAATTAGTTCTCATTAAACACAAAAAAAATGGTATTTTTTAATTCAAAGCAAAGGAAGGAGTGAGAAAATCTGGGAACTATTTTGTTTGCTCAGATGGCTCAGCCTAAGAGGATGCAACAGCTTTAACTGCAGCATCATTCACCTCAGCACTTCCCATTTCAGTAATCTCGAGAGAAGGCTTATACAGTTCATGAAAGGCCATCAAATAGCTATTCATGTATCAGACATTTATGGCTAGGAACAGAGAGCTACGAACTTAGGATACGACTGTTACTGCAACCAGGTAAGAATGGCAACTTCCACCCTGCATTCTATAGAGGCTTCTTCAGATTTCACAGGAGACACCTACTCTGTGGACAGCCACACAGCTCTCCTTCCGAGAACAAAGCATTTTTGCTTTATTGTTGCATTTCTGGAAATTTTCATAGACTTTACACAACAGAAGGCTAACAGTTAAAGAGCTTTGAGTCCTGCAGAAACATTGCCCTTTTCCCTTCGAGATGACGTCTGAAGCATTCACCTGCTTGTAGATAAGGAGGCAAAGAGTCACCTCAGGGCAAGCCTTCTATTTCCAGCATCTGATGCTTTTAGGTGAACCAGAGCACCTAACGTGTTTTATAGCTGCAGAAGGGAATGATGCACTACTCTTCATGGTATCCAGAAAACCTCTGACTCCCTGCTGGTTTTTGTAGCTAACTTTGCAGAATTCCCTGCTGCAGAGACTGTGCAGTCTCTAGCTCCTTCTCAGCCTGCAGAAGAGATCTGGGGACCACAGTGAGAGCAAGCACTTCAGCGATTTACCAGGGACAGCAACGCAGAAACAAGTGTCCACAGTGCCAGGTTGTGCACATGCCCCTTTTGAAGCAGCCTGAAGAGATCAGAGTAGCCAAGAGACTCCTGGTCCTCAGAAGAAGAACAGTGACCTTCCTGGGGTCTGCAGAGCACCAGAGCAGGTAGGCTTCCCCTCGGCAGGACACCCACTAGCCAGCACCAGGGGAAGCAGTGCAGGACATACCTGGGAGGCAATTTTCAGTTTCAGAAGCTAACGGGCCGGGTGTTTCAGGTATTTTATCCACAGCTCTCCAAATGCTACAGCATACATACATTCTACCCATGTATCAGCTTGAAGGACTGAGAAGATAAATGTCCCGTCTGCCACAACAAAGCAAGGAACCAATTCGTTTGAATAGGTGCTGCTTTGTTAAGAAAAAACCAAAAGGCACGATGAAGTCAAGCAAAGAAAACAAGTTAAAAGGAAGTACAACACAGTAAGCCAAAGTAAGCAGAGATTTGAGGGAACATATTTAAAATGCAGATTTACAGTCTAACATTGGAAACATTACTTGGGTACAGAACACTAAAATGTGTGCTTTTACCCATGTTTTGGTTGTTTCACAGCCCAGTTCACAGTAACGGGTAATACGGTTACTGTTAATATGGGTCTTTCACATCTGTTTACATAGCAGTGCTGTCAAACTCAATTCAGTGAGGTCTCAAATAGAGGAAAACTGAACGCTACCAGATTCCTTTCAGTGGGAAGGCTGGTACCCAGCTTCCTTAGATGCTGTACACCGAGCCTGTTCACACACTCAGCGGGCACCAAGACACACCTCAGAGAGTTGTGGCCAGAGGTAGCTCTGATTCATTTGCAGGAGGTTACTACAAGTAGTCCTGATGGAAGAATGCACTAATTCAGTGATAGGCTGATCTAGGCATGCAAATGGGAGCTCCTGGGTGATCTGATGACACTGGTTTCAGCTTCCCTCACAGCCTCTGCTTCTTCCAAGTGCAACATAACTCAACTATGGCTGCGCTGACAGGGTAGGTCATGTAGCTATGTAAAACAGTCCTGCATGGCAGCCTCACCTGAATAACTCATAATTTGCATCAGGTTCCAGTAAAACAAAGTGGACACTCTCAATTTAGAGTTTTATTTCTTGCTTATGAAATCTGCATGTACCAGAGAAAATTAAATAGATCATGCAATCACATCCCAGCTACATCAGCTCAGTAAACAGGGCCATGACAAGAATAACTCAAGAGGTAAGAGTAATCACGCTATCACAAGACCTGCTTGCAGATCAGCTGATGACCACATCAAACTCCAAGCAAAGAGATTACCTTAACACAATAATTGGATGTGGCCGATAATGGAAGCAGTTCAGGAGCTGACCTGCAAGCAGATCTAGCACTTCTGCTTCAGTGGCAGTAAGGCAACGCAGCTGGTTATTGGTGGTAAAAACTCAGTCCATTTCATCTTGAGTCCTATCGCATGTCTACAAACACACTCATTCTTGGTTCCTCAGACTTCTTAACTCTCTTCCCTTCTCTATTCAAAGAAACCAGGTGTGAGTTGCAGAATGACTCTCCCTTCCTTGGTGTTACTTCAACAAAACTGATGTGCACTGGGGCACTTCGCAGAGAAGGGGGAACATTGTGACCAGGAAAAATGTGAGCTTCAAGTACAGGCAATAGCAACTGGAAAGAAGGACAAAAGCAGTAGGATAATAGCAGGAGAACTTTCCTTCCCTGTCCTGAAGGAAGAGAGGAAAAACAGAAGACATCAACATTTCACTTAAAAACAACCATATAAACTCCATATATTCAGCTGTGCTACACTTCTCTCTAGTTCA